AATTTAGAGTCTCTTGGAGATTCTTTATGATTTTTCTTAATCTTTCCGAATTCTTTTTCTAAAAGATAAATTACAAATTCCGGAGACTGTCCCTAGTTATGCTACTCCAATCTTCTATATGCAATAAAGTACTAGTGTCAAAAACCTAACCAATGGGGAATGAAGATAAGAATAAAAGATATTGTTAGTAGATTAGGAATAGTAATAGTTTAATTTAGATTATTTCAGTTTATTATAGTCTTCTAGCTTGACTAAAATTACAGTTTATTTCCTCAGTTTCTTACTTAAAATAGGTTTGTTTAAACTCTCTATACAGAGTATCTATGCATTGAAATAATTAAACTTGGATATTGAACCAATTTTCTCACTCTAATTTCTGCTTCTCTTCCATTCTTCTCTCTCCTTTCCCATTCTTCTATAATTTTGGTTCTTTGTTGGTTGCATCACACATCATTAATACTTGGACAGGCAGGGGAATGAGACATTTCATGTAAATCAAAAGACATCTAAGATCGTCTATTTACTCCCTAACAAATTATTATTGTTTAATCCACATTTTGGACAGCTCATATTATATAGGAGAATGCCTATAGAGCTAAATTTTTTGACAAGTGAATTTCAGTGACACCAGAGTCCTTACTGTCCTACTGAAGTGTACAAGTATAAACCCTATGGCTGAAACCAATCACCTCTATAATTATTACATATCTTGACAAATAATCAGAAGAAAACAACTTAAGAAGAGGAACAAAGAAAGAATGAAGCATGGTTGTTCAATAATATGCTGACAAATAGGTCAAGTAGGTGAAGGATAACCAAAGGGAAAGGAGGAGGAAAAGAATGTGGAAGTGCAATGCAAGTAGATACGAAAATTAAGAATGAGGTTGCAGGTCTCTCAGTACAGTATATATCAAAAAACTCATTTCATTTTTGGCAATTTTTTGCATAAAACAGCTATTTCTGTACAACAATACCATCACCAAGAGTCAATAAATCATCTGTGCTATGAGCTTAAACAGTTGTAAGTTTTAAAACACAAAACATAACAAAATTGCATAGCTACAGTCAGCAACTTTACCGCACGGGAAAACCGTGTTGCATCTCTCTTTGGTAAGTTCCCATAGGACCATCCCCTTACTTGAGCAGTAGCACCCTCAGTCACAGGAGGAGAATATCCTGAATCTGCCTTCCGTCTCTTAGACAATCTTTCCTGATGATCAGCTCCCTTTTTTTTCCTTTTATTGACCTTCTCAGGTGGATTAACCTCTGCATAACTTCTAATATTTCGAGCAGCTCGGGGAGCTAAAGCTTCCTACAAGATAAAAGAATTCCATGAGAGGACCTTATCACTCCGAAAGGATTACAAGAAACATCTAGCATCCATCAAAGTAAAAATTGAATACCTCAGCTTGGGAGATAGCATCTGGCTTTATCATGCGGCTCCAAAAAGTCCCATCATCTTCAGCACTAGAGAAGTTGGCCACCTATTATATCATGACAAAGAATAATACAGTTCATACAGCATACAATTTGGGGGGGAACACTTAACAGATGCATAATTATCAACTAAAACAACGAACTTTTTTCATAAATGAAGAAAAGAAAGAGGTAGAAAGGAGGGGGCCTTTCACCCTTATTTCAGCAGAATAAAAATTCTAGATGCCAAAAATTAGAAAAACAAATTTCTAATCTACCATTAGAGAGCTTAGCTATCATATGCTTGCCTTAAACGCACTCAACAGCTCATGTCCTTCCTCACAGTCGGTAGCTGTCTCTTCAACCTTTTCCGCTCTTTCAAGGATTTCATCAATGTCCATACTGAGAAGCCTTTTCTTGCTTTCCTCATCATTTTTGTCTTCCTTGAATAGTTCCTCTGCCCCAAACCTCAGGATTGCTGAAAGCTCATTCTAAAATCACAAAAATCAAGAAATAGGATAACGAGATCCACAAATCTAAAATATAAGCTAGAGAGAACTTTATATAAAGATGTAGCACATAAGTAAGGTAAATATAAAGTCAATAACAGTAGTAAATAATACAGACTCAGAAGAGTGTTTATTGCATATACTTACCTTGTCAAATGAACTTCCTTTCTTCGTTTCCTTTTTCTCCAACCTGCCCTCAGCATTTAGTTTCTGAATAACCAAATGGTCCAAAACCTAAAGAAAACATATGAAGTACCCAGACAATCAAATTTTAACTATTCTTTGCATAGAGGCCTTGCCAAAAATCCAAATAAAATAATAATACACACAACAACTTCAGAATTAATCCCTATGTTACGTTCATGGGGAAGTAGAAAAAGATCGGCAGCAAAAGGATAGAGACCAAATTTTAATGATAGGCCTACACATGAATAATGTATTTAGAAACAGGGACATGCAAAAGCTCTCAGAATAGCAATACCATTTTTTTCTTAGCCCGCTCCAAGATATCTTCCTCAACACTCTTGCTAGTAACAAACCGATAGATATTAACTACTTCTTGCTGCCCAATTCTATGAGCTCGACTCATTGCCTGATCCAACAAAATAAACATTCATTCATGTGATGCAAAGTAAGAAATCATAAGGCTAAGCAAAAAAGCGAGACAAAAATCATCCAGCATAAACCTGTAAATCATTTTGTGGATTCCAATCAGAATCAAATATGATAACTGTGTCTGCAGTTGCAAGATTGATACCCAAGCCACCAGCACGAGTAGAAAGAAGAAAACAGAAATCCTCACTGCCAGGAGCATTGAAATGTTCCATGGCTTGATGCCGCAGCTCAGCCTTAGTACTACCATCGAGTCTCTGAAATTGGAATCCTTTAAAGGACAAATACTCTGCCAGTATATCCAACATCCTTACCATCTGCAAGGGACGAGGAGTCAATTTATTGTGCTTACAAGCCAAAACCACTGAAACGTTATT